TCGGGGCGCCCCGACCGCCTCCCGCGTTCCCCGGCCGGCGCCCCGGAGCCGCCCCCCCTCCCCGGAGTTCCGGGGCTCGGCGGCGGCGGCTTCCCGAGGCTCCCTTCGCGGCGCCCCCGGCCCTGCCCGGTCCCGGAGCGGGGCGTCCCTTGGCCGCGGCTCCTCGCTGCTGCCGGCGCCCACCTGACTCGGCTCTCTTTCTTCCCTCGCTAGCAAAATGTTCATCGGGGGACTGAGCTGGCAGACGACTCAAGGTGAGCGGCGGGGCGGGGAGGGGGTCCCGGGTGCGGGTCTCGCCCCAAACTTCGCAGCTCCTCCCCCAAAGCCTCCCTCCCGCCGCCGCCGCCCGCCCGTGAAGGGGTCTGCGGACCGGGCAGCGGCTTGGCGGGCTTTGTGGTGGGTTGCGAGGGAAGCCGGCTCGCCGCCCTCCCGGGTCCGGGGAGGCGGAGGTGGCGCGGGCGAGCCGGTGGGAGCTGCTCCGGAAAGGCTCCCGGGGGCCGGGAGGGCTCTCCCCTCCCCTCCCTTCTCCGCTGCGCCGGGTCGGCGGGCCGGAGGCTGCGCGGCGGCATCGGCCGGGATCTGCCGCCCTTTACCGCCTGGGAGCCCCACGGGTGGCCTTGTGTTGTGCTTGCAGAAGGCTTGCGGGAGTACTTCAGCCAGTTTGGCGAGGTGAAGGAGTGCCTGGTCATGAGGGACCCACTGACCAAGCGATCCAGGTGAGGCTCCCCGCTGCCTCCTGCCCCCCCCCACTCGGGAGGGAGGGAGGGAGGGAGGGAGGGAAGGTGGGAGGGAGGGAGGCGCCTGCTGCTCCCCCCCCCCCGCGTTCCTCCTAACCGAGCTTTCCCCTTCTCGGCTACCTCCCTTCCGGCTCTCCATCCCGTGCAGGGGCTTCGGCTTCGTCACATTCATGGACCAGGCCGGGGTGGACAAGGTGCTGGCCCAATCCAGGCACGAGCTGGACTCCAAAACGGTGAGTGGCTTCTCTCTGGCTGTTGGGCTTTGGTTTTGTGTGGGGGAAGCATCCCTTAGAGCTGGCCTTCCCTCTACAGTTGGGCTCTCAACCCAGAGGAAGGGACCCGGATTAGTTGGTTGAACCGGCAAAACTTTCTCTTCTTTGTTGGAGCAAAGTTGACATCCAGTCTCTTTTTGAGCCAAGTCTGGCTGCTTCGCTGAAGCCGGAGATCTAGCCTCTTGCGTTCCCATCCTAACTAGGAATCCTGGGAATTGTATTCTCCCCTGCTTTCAGGATGCCAACTCAAGGGATGGGTGCAATCATAACGGGCACCCCACAGGTGACTTTGCTGATGTCAAAGGATGGAGACATGTCTGGTTATGGGGCCAAGGCCAGGCTACCTAGAAGGCGGTTTAGAGACTCTGGGACCAGTGGGAGGCCTTTCATTTGAGGATGGGTAGAAATGCCTGGGGACAGGGGTGGGATCTGGTCTGGGCTCTGTTTTGGGGATACTGTCCCTTTAGCAGGCCATTGCTGTGACCTGTAGGCCTTCCCCTTGGGCACCCAAGCTGAAGTACTTCCAGTGCCTCCTCTTCCCCATGTAATCCCAAAGGGAGGGAAAAGGGTCCCCGGTGGGGAGTGGGGAGGAGCTTTTCCACAAAGCAAGAGTTGATCATGCTGAGATGCATCTTTATCTGCTCCACAGAAAGTGGTCTCAACTCATTCTGGGCTCAGATCCACGGGTGGCTGTTGGGCCAATGGAGTTCTCAGTATCCGTTTCCAATGTTGGGGGGGGCACCAGATGTTCTGGGGGCTTGGGTGACTGGTGAGACTGCCTCTCGTCACCCCAATAAAGCTTCTCATTCAGCACTTCATGTTCCAGCCTTCTCCGGCCTTCACCAGACACCCCATGCCAACAATAGGGGGGGATATCCCACCCATTATCCTCTCCAGATTGGCCACGGGGTTCCCCGGGCTTCCAGATGGCATTCTTTTGCACCTCTTTGGGTCAGGAGAGAGGAAAGTGAGAAGGAGGAACGTGAAAATCTGCCAGCTTCCCATCCCTCTGAAGGCAACAAACTGTCCCCTGAAGAGTTTTTTTGTGTCCTCTGTCCCTCCATTCTCCCCTCAAGCCTATTTGCAGGTTTAGCAAGCAGAATCCTTCTTCTCAGGAGGTGAGAAAGGCAACTAAACTTAATCTGCCCAAGCAGCAGTGGGGACTGGGGGGGGGGGGCAAGGAGCAGGATCCATATCCTGGGTATTAATAACAGGGCCCAGTTCGGCCCTTCTGGTGGTTTTAAGCTCCAAGGTGCCTGAAAAATCAAGTCCCAACTCTACTCGTGCCAAATTTTATTTCATAACTTGTAATTTGCCGGCCCAGAATCCTAAAATGTCTCAAGTCTAACCCATTCCTAAGAAGACCTGGAGGTTTAGTGATTCCATCTCACCGACCTTTATTTTAGAGGCTGTGGGTGTGAGATTATGAGGTTATAAATGCTTTCAATATTTTATTGTATCAACTGTTGTTTTATTCCTGGTACTATGCTTAGCCCATAGTAAATTAAAATACTACTGGTATTAAGGTGGCTGAGTAGGGATTTCAACCCACATCTCCAAAGAGTCCGTAGGTGTAGTCCTTCCTTGATTAATTTGTGGATTAATTAATGTTTGGTGTTCTTCTGTGTAACTCAGGCGTGTGAATATGTGTGTATAACTGGGATCGTGATTCCATTAAACCAGATTTGTTTGAACGACAATTGTTGAGCAAGCATCAAGTTAGTCAAACATTAAGTAAGTGGCTTAGTGGCATAATGTGTGTATTCGCCCTCAGTGTAATACCGTGGAGGCCCATTGCCTTCCTCTGCAAGCAGGCATTTCTTGTAAATACTTTTGGACACTTTGCTCTGGCTGAAATCTTTAGGTTCAAGGCTTGGGCTAGGAAAGGGAACAATGTTGGTTTTTAACATGTTTTCTCTCCCGCGAATGGCTAGGAAGGAACAATGCTCCTAAAAATTATCTTGCATGATTCTCATAAAAAGGAGAGCTGAGCTGCTCCCCCTCTTTTGGTAGGGCTGAGTTTCAGTCCCTCTCCTGCCTGTTTCTGTTCAAATCCAATTCCTTGCCTAAAGTAGAGAACAACTAATGCAAATGATGGTTCCTTGAGTGAGTGGTAAGAAAGTAGATCATTCTCTCCACTGCCTGATCTGTATGAATCCAGGGCCTTGTGATTCTGGTGTTGAGTGCAAGAAAAACATCATCCTAAAAGTTAGGCACTTTCTTTGATTAAATTCAGCTTCTCGGTTTAGTTTCCTTATAACTTCTCAGGCTGTGCCTGATGCGGTTGGCATCAGCAAGCAAGCTGTGGATTGTTCTTGTGATGCTTCTGGCCCTTTAGGGCATTTTTCCAGCAGGGGGGTGGGAATTCCCTTCCCCTGGACTTTGCTATGGGGCAAAGGAAAGTCTATCTTGGCTGTTGGGGAAGAGGGTCTATTTCGGTGGTCTGGATGATGGGGGCCTCTGCAGCTGGCCTAATCTCACGGACCCTTCAGATGAAAGTCCACTGATCCCTATTCTTCTCTTCCCAGCCTTTGAAAACAGGGCTGGGGGCCTCCTTGCAAGGCGGAGCAGGTGGGGGGAGGGGCTGAGCAGACCCAAGGAGAACAGAAGGGGTCTCCAGCGAGACAGAAGGCGATGGGAATGAACTGCTGTGGCAGTCCCCCATGCGTCTGGCAGGCTGGGTGGAGGGAGAAAGCCAGAGGTGGAGATGGCAGAACCTGGGCCCAGAAGGACTTATTCCTCTTTGTTTGGTGCTGAAACAATTTCCCGCCTTCTCTTTCTCCTTACTCTGTCCCCTCCAGGCTTTGCGGGGGGGGGCTGATTCAGGAGGTCTATATGGCATCTCCCCGCTACCTGCTGTCCCAAGACTTATTTCTTATGGGGCATGATCTCCTGGGAGTGTCAGGAAAAAGCCCCCTCTTTGGCTTGAGTGCTGGGAGAAGCTGACTCTGGGTCCTTTGCCACTTTTAATTGACATCTCAGACCATCCCCTCCCCAGAGGTGGCCTTTTTGGATCCTTCCTGGTTTATTGATTTATCTGCCAATCAGAAGAGGAGGGGACCTCAGGGTGGGCATTGGAGGGCTGCTAGGCAGACTCCTCCATGGCCCAGGAAAGCCAGGAATGCAAAATGCTCTCTTGGTGCCATTATGTAGCGCTAGGAGAAGCCCCATTTCAAGGCCTACCTGATGAGTGTGGCTGTGTTTCAAAAAAAACCTCTGCACAGCCTTGTGGCCCAGTTTGTGAGATGCAGTGGGCACCTGGGCAGCAGGAGTCTGCCTACTATTGTCTAGGCAAGTTTCATCTTTGGAGACAACCCCAAAGAAGGGCTTGCTCAACTGGAGAGAGATGTTGCGCCATTTAGCCAGGGAGGATTTAGAGAAATATCCTGGACCAGAACCTCCAAAGAAGGCTTGGCCTTTCTGCCTTCCGCTTGGACTTTCCAGGTCTTTTCTCTCATAAAATGGAGTGGTTTCCCTTGGCTTTCTATTCTACAGGGCTCCATTCCTCCTACGCATTATTACCCACTTTTGCTAAATTTGCAAAAAAGGTTCCCGAGGACGTGTCTCAAGTGCTGCTTTGCTGACAGAGTACCTGGGGGATTATGGCCTGTTTTGGTCTCCCCCGGAGTTGGGAAGACCGCCCAGTGCCACACTATATTGTATTGGCCTTGTAAAGTGTTAGACAGGAAACATTTTTCTTTATCACTTTGGTGCTTGACCTTTGACTGGGCCAACCAAGATTCCCTTATTAGCCAACGTTGGTTCACACATGCAGTTTTCTCTAGCTAGAACTCTGACCTGAATGCTGGGCTGCAGGGCTGGGTGATTCTCCCCCCCCCCCCCCCCACTGCTGGAACAGCCAGGACTTGGTGGCTTTGCGGAAGGCCCCCCCCCCCCCCCCCGAGAGCAGAAGAGTTTCTTCCTCCACCCAAGAATGGGCTTTTTTGAGAAACAGACTCTTTGTTTGGGAGGGAGATAACTGCAGGCTGCACTTTGTTTATGGAAATGTAAGTTTAATAGATACCTTGGCTGGACTCTAACATTTCAAAGGCTGGGGAGGCTGGAGTAGTCAGAGGTGTTTGTTTTTCTTCCCAGGCGGCAGGAGGGGGTGGGGATGAGGGGGTGGAGTGGGCCCTTCAGGTTCAGGATGGAGCAATTTGGCTCTTAACTTCCCCAGGAATCTGCCAGCGTGTCTTCTTATACCAGTGATGGCTAACCTTTTTGTCCTTGCATGCCAAAAGCCTACATGCGGTGCCCATGCCCAAAATGTAATGCATTGTACGGCCTCCCTGAAGCCTCCTGAAACCAAAAACGGGGCGCAGGGAGGGGCACCACACCCCTCCTGTGCTCCCTTGCCTCTCCATGCATGCACACGCCTCTTCCGCATGCAGGGCAGAGATCCAAAAATCAGCTGGCCAGAGGGAGGCAAGCATCCGTGCATGGTGGAGCTGAGCTGGGCAATGGCTCATGTGCCGGCAGAGAGGGCTCCGCTTGCCACCTGTGGCATGCATGCCATAGGTTCGCCATCATGGTCTTATAGAGTGTTGGTCTGGGGAGAGGTCTCCATATTCTCTTCTCCAAAGCCCCTTGGATATAGTGGTGTGCAATCCAAGAGTTCCCAGGCTGCTGTTGTGACTGGGGGCTGTTGGAAGGGCGATCTTTGGGCCCGTTCAGTGTGACATCAGCCTCTTCTGGGTGACACCAGGGGGCTTCAGCATTGTGGGAGGGGTCGAGCAAAGGCTGTGAATCCTTGAATGATGACTGGAGGAGGAAGCGTTGCCTGATCTTTAGGAGGCACCACATCCACAGACAATACAGATAGTTCTCGGATTGCAACCATTCTAAGTTACGATGCTGCTGAAAAATGTCATTTATGATTGGACCTCGTATTTACGACTGTCGCAGCTTCCCTGCTGTCAAGTGATCAGAATCCAGGAGCTGGCATGTATTTTTGACAGTTG